CCTTGGCGTTTATGACTTTCCGTATTAGGCGTCATCATGGACATAAACCCCAAACCCTAAACCCTAAACCCAATCACAAGAGAGCACGAGTCGATCGTGCGTGACGGGAGCCAAAGCAGAGTCGCAACAACAAAAACGTCAGAGAAAACAAAACAAGGCCTGAACCCGCAATCTGAGGTTGAACCCATGGGGTCCCCAGTATGGGCCGTTAACCCTGGGATCTGTATACACCTACTATATAGGGGTTTAGCGGTTTAGGGTTTAGGGTTTAGTTTTAGTTAAAGGAAACTACAGGTGGGGAATTTAGGGTTTAGGGTTTAGGGGTTTAGGGTGTAGGGGTTCAGGGTTTAGGGTTTTGGGGTTTAGCTAAAGGAAACTACAAGTGGGAGCGAAAGGTTTAGGGTTTAGGGCTTCTTTGTGGCTTCCTTAAGGTATATAAGCTTCTATCATGCTCCTATAACGGTAACTACCCACCTGAAAATGTCCTAGCTGACACACCAGTAAAACATAAAACTCCTAAACCCCAAAGCCAGCCCCGGTAACCACCCTACAAAGCATAGAAAACCCTTTCAAAGAACTCATGAACTCTCAGGCCTTAGACCTTAAAACCACTCCTCCCCCCCTAGACCCTAAACCCTAAACCCTGAAACTCTGAAACTCTAAAATGGTTCCTTTTAGAGTTCCTTTTAAGGGTTCCATAAGGCTTACTATAAGGGTTTCATGTTGGGGACTCTAAACCCCTAAACCCGAAAACCCGAAACCCCAAACCCTAAACCCCTCCCCTCCGGACCAAAAAGAAATGCGCCACTCCTCCCCCCTAGACCCTAAACCCTAAACCCTGACACCCTGAAACTCTAAGACCGTAAACCCGAAAACCCAACACCAAACCCTAAACCTCCGGACCAAAAAGAAATGCGCCTGGAGTCCACGTCTCTCCACGAGGCTGGAATTGCACGCGCGCCCCCACGGCCACCTGAGATGCGCGCTTTTCAGTCGTAGGGTTTGAGGATTTCGGACTTTACGGTTTAGGGTCTAGGGTAGGGTTTAGGGTGGAGGGCTTTGGGTTTTTGTTGTTCTGAGGCTTTGGGGTTCTAGGGTTTGGAGTTTAGAGCTTTGTTACTTTGGGGTCTTCGGGTTATTGGGTTCAAGGATTTGGGGTTTGTGGTCTTGGGGCTTTGGGCTTTGGGGTTGTGTTGTTGTGGTGTCTTCAGGTTTTACGGTTTAAGGCTCTGGGATTTTGCTGTTTTGGGACTTTGGGCTTTTGTGTTTTGGGGTTTTGGTGTTTTGCGGTTTTGGGGCTTTGGGCTTGTAGGGTTTAGGTTGACCGCTGAGGTTTTCGGGTTTAGTTTTTGTTCCTGCACCTTCAAGGAATCCGGCAAGGGGTTGTGTAAGGTTTGGGGCTTGATGACCTTGTTCGGGTTTTTGTAAAAGATCTGCCGCGTTTGCCAGAAGTACAGATTTAGCATCTTGGGCTCTTTAATTCACGAGTTTTCCTTGGGGTTCCTCAACAGGTTCTGCAAAGTTTCCGTTCAAGGTTTTACAAGGCTTTAGGTCTTGGCGATTGGGGCCTCGGCATTCAGGATGTGAGAGTTTGGCGTTTCGTAGATGCTGAGTTCATAAGCCCAGAAAAGTGTACACTTTCAGTTTTATAGTAGGTAATATTATCCCAAAAAGTGTAAAGTGTATCCACTCAGCTACTGAGGCTTTAAGTTCCGTGTTTTTTTAAGTTCCGTGTTTTCAGAGCGACCTAGTGTTTTGTGATGACCCAACAACGTCGGTCGAATCTAGAGTAACAATCCCGGAACCCAAAGCCCTGAAGCCTAATCACTAGGCCCTCCAATCCTCCACTCTGAAAGCACCAAAAGCCTCACCCAACCCAACCCCCAAACACTAAGGCCCCCAAACCCTAAACTAGCGCGTTTAAGGGTTTGGGCTTTGTAGAGTTTAGGGCATTAGCGTTTAGGGCTTAGTGTCTTCAGTGTTTTGCCGTCGTTTTGTCTGATAGGAATCATGGATTTGCCAGGTGCAAGACGGAGCATGGCTGCAATGAGATAAACCCTAAACCCTAAACCCTAAACCCTAAAAAACAAAAACCCTAAACCCTAAACCCAAAGCTCTTCGAAGCTGGAGACGAAACGGCTGTAATGTAGGGGCCTTAAGAACTTACTTCCCCAATAAGCCAGGGAAATGAGAGGTTAAACTTTCAGATTGCTACTAAACTATAAGAACCCAAAAAGGTTAAAGGTCGGGTGGAGAACTAAGAGAATTACCTATACTATTCTGGGGGCTCCTTCTTGGTGACTATCGCCAAACCCTCGCGAGCATGCTTGGAATTTCGTACTCGATCGAATCCCGAAACAGCATCAACGAAACCATACCGAACAGAGCCCACAGACGCATGTCACACGAGCGTTGAGAAAGCCACGGGCGGAAACCAGCAAAGAGACCAGCTTAATAATCAGGAAAGCTGGGGAATAATGTAGGGGCCTTACAAATTATAATAGGGTTTTGGGGCTCATAAAACTATAACTTTAGTATGGAACCCCCAAACTAGTACTGGTAATTATTTAGACCCCTGCATTATATCACTTCTTGCCGACACCAGTCCCCCAACTTCAAGTCGCTAAGGAAAGCACGTAGGGGGTTTAGAGTTTAGGGTTTGGGGCTTCAGGGTAAACCCTAAACCCTAAACCCTAAACCCTAAACCCTAAACCGTATGGCTTTAGAGCTTGCGGGATGTCGACTCGAAGAGTTCGGGCTGCAAATTAGCACCAGTCTCACCTGCGACGCCAGCTGATATAGGGGCCTTAATAATTAGACGAAGGTTCGGGGATATATTATACTATAATTGTAATAAGGAGCCCCCCAAAACCCTATTCTAATTACGCCCCTACTACCTACATTAGTCCAACCAAGGACCTTAAGGAAGTGGCAGGTAGTGCATTGGGAAGCTTTTGTGCATAAGGCTTACGCGATTGCTGGGGACCGAAACAAGTTATTGTACACCTGTTTAGCAACATCACACCACGCCACGTGAGCTTTGCCAGCAGATGCGGGCCTCTACAAGCATCAGCACCGTCGTCGGTGGAAGGCTCACGGAAGCCAGCAGCTGTACCTCCAGGAATCTTAACCCTGAATACCTGCTGCAACTCAAGGGTTCAGGGTCTACCTGTAGCCGAAAAGACCTACCCAGTTGCCAGAAAAGTAAACCCTATTGCCGTATATAGACCTCTCTTATGGTAGCTTACAGTAAATTGAACTCCTCAAGAAGAACCCAGCAATCAGGGTTTAGGGTTTAGGGTTTAGGGTTTAGGGGTTTAGGGGTTTAGGGTTTAGGGTTTAGGGCACCGTCTTGATGGATCCAAGCAAACACGCCGAACTCGAGTAGACGAGGAACCTCGGCTGGTGGATGACGATGCTGAAAAACTATCTTATAGTACCCTAAACCCTAAACCCTAAACCGTTTAGGGTTTAGGGTTTAGGGAATCTTATAGTCAAGGGCTTTAGGGCTGTAGGACTTCAGGGGTTTAAATTTCAAGGGTTTGGGTTTAGGTCTCAGGGTTTAGCATGTCACACTTCTGATTTCAGCCGTACGGCTTAGCTAGCAAGACCAACCTGAACCCTTAACCCCACACCCTACACTCTCATCCCCAAACCCTAAACCCTAAACCCCAAACCCGAAACCCTAAACCCGAAACCCGAAACCCGTGGTCCCAGCCATGGCAGCGGCGACGATGAATACTACGATTGTAAGGGCACGGCATTGATGTTTAGGGTTTAGGGTTCAGGGTTTAGGGATTAGGGTTAGTGGTTGGGGTTTAGGGTTTGGGGCTTCGGGTTGAGGGTTGCTGGACAGCGATTTACGATTCTGATGGTAACGGGCAAGGCGATGGTGACAGCCACAGTGCTAGACAACAAGATCCAAACGGAGACGGCGACGACATCTGTGATGACTATGCGACGCGATGACGGCGAGGCTGACGGTAACGACGATGATGAACAAGACGAACACTGCGAGCGCCGGTTTCGGTGAATGCCGTGCGCAAAAGCTTGCAGATGTGGTTTGGCCTGCACACCATGTTATGGGGAAGATTGGCACGAAAATTCCTTAATCGAAACAACATGAACTTGTTCGCGCCTTTGCCGTGGCAGTGCATGCAAGCCTTATTTGTACATAGCTTCATTTCGTGTGACAGAAAGCTTTCCATGGCAGTGCTTGCTATCGCCCGGTGATTGATAAACCAGGAAACCCCTAAACCCTAAACCCTAAACCCGTAAGCCCCATCGTGCCTGAACGATGTTCAACACATAGAGGCTCCCTGGATGTCGCACCAAATCACATCTTACGCCGCACAATTTCACCTAGGGCCCTAAACTCAAAGCCCTTTGACCGTTAAGCCCTGAACCGTTTCTGCCTCAAAATTACAACTTCGCAGCCTGCTTCTGCGTTGGGACTGTGTTGTGTTGGGAGCTAGGTGTTGTGCGGCGGAGGCGCCTGGCAGCCTAGTGGCCTTCATAATTGGAATAGCTTTTGGGGTGTATGATACTACAATTATGAAAAGGAATCCCACCCAAAAAAAACTAGTATTGGTAATTAGTTAAGATACTACAATTATGAAAAGGAACCCCCCCAAACACAAATAGTATTGGTAATTAGTTAAGATACTACAATTATGAAAAGGAACCCCCCCCAAACAAAAATAGTATTGGTAATTAGTTAAGATACTACAGTTATGAAAAGGAATCCCCCCCCCCAAAAAAAAATAGTATTGGTAATGAGTTAAGCCCCTATCTTACTTCCAAGGAATTGGTTTGAGGTGCGGCAGTTCAGGCGCGCATCTGCCTGGAGGCTCCGATTTAACGGCTAAGGGGTAGGTTTGGGGTTCCGGGCTTTGGGGCGGGGATGTAAATCTCAAGCCCTAAACTCGCACCCTAAACTGGTAAAGGAAGCTTAGAATCAATCCTCCACTCTATACCTTCATTGTTCATGATCAAGTCACTGAAGGAAGAATTTGTGGTTCGCATATCCGACGGTGTTGTTCAGCCAGGGGCAATAATGGTCCATCCGCAGAACGCACCTTCGACCACTGGCCGGTTGACAACTTTCTGAGAGAGCCATCTTAGATTTGCTTTTGGAGAGCCGATCTTATGATTAGGATGCTAGAATAGGACATGATTAGGATATATTAGGATGCTAGAGTAGCACAAACAGGGCAATCGATAGAAGGTACTACAATTCATGGTCTAGGCATGGCGACAACCAGCAAGGCCCCTTCGCCGAGAAGTCAGGGCAATGTCTAGGTGTAGTCTAGTGCCGTCTAGTAATCAGCTGCAAGGGAGAGTAGGCTTCTGGGGTTAGACTCGATGAGTCGACATCTCTGAAACCCTTAAACATGGAAAACTCTCATTCGACTGCACATGGAAGTTTAACAGTGCGAGACAGGCCCGCCAAATCGCTAAAACCCAAAAGATTTGAGTTTACAGTGCTGGAAACAACGTCTCTGCAAGTCCCGGAACCTGCTGGATTTGGGCCGAGAAATGCAGAAAGCCCATTCAGCCCCATCTTCCGGCTACGGATAATGACGATGGCGATGTTGACGGGGATATGGATGACGCTGACGCTGCGGTCGCTGAGAATGACTGTGAACAGAATGACTGTGAACATGATGCTGGCAACTGTGAGTCATGGTGATGCCGATAGAATCATGTTCGTTGGTGTCGACATCGACGTGGACCTCCTTGTTGACGCCGTCATCTGCATGGTCTCACGAAATTGTCATCACCATCATCATCATCACCACCATCATCATCAACATAATCATCGCCTTCGCCACATCGTACTCGTCACCTTTCGTCAACACCGTTGACATCATCACCGCCAGCATCATCATCGTCATCATCGTCATCGACATCATCATCATCACCACCATCATCACCATCATCATCACCATCATCAACACCATCATCATAATCTTCTCCATCAATGTCGTCAATGTCGTCATAGTCGTCCCTGCGATCGTCATCAGCATAATCATCATCGTCGTTGTCATCATCATCATCATCATCACCATCATCATCAACATAACCTTCATCACCATCACCATCACCATCACCATCGCCATCGCCATCGCCATCGCCATCATCATCATCATCATAATCATCATCACCGGCATCATCATCCTCATCATCGTCGTCATCATTATCATCAGAAGCATCAGCATCCGCAGCATCAGCAGCAGCGACACCAGCTCCACTGTCATGTGCAACGGGGAGTTCTCTGTGTATCCGCATGCATGCACACACACACACACAGAACACACACACACACACATATGGGTGGTTGTCAAAATTAGGGTCCCTTTTGGGGTACCCTAAATAATAGGTGCCGTATTATAATAAGGACCCAAAAAGGGACCCTAATTTTGACAACCACCCAGGGGACCCTAGTATAGTACCCTAAATAGTAGGATCCTCATTATAAGGACCCCAGAATAAGGTACCCATTATGTCCGGAAACTCCCATATATAACACAACCTCAAGTGCACCTCTCGGTAGCGCTGCAGTAGTGGGAGCGATCGGGCTTGTACGCCTCGGACTTCCTGCACCAACGAGCCTGATTCATGCGATATTCGTTCCCTTCAAGGGTTTCTTACGGGTCCCTTGGTTGTATTTCGTTCCCTTCGAGGGTTTCTTACGGGTCCCTTTGGTTTTATTTTGGGATCCTCACCATCGAATTGAACTGGTGAGATGTCAAAAAACTATTGCGCTGCAATGATACGTACTATAGGTATGGGGCAGAGGGTTTGGAGTTCAGGGTTCGGCGGCCAGGGTTTCGGAAATGTCTTCGAATCCTCTGTGTGAAGCGATTTGACACCCGCGCACCTCACCCGACTTGTTGGCTTTAGGGTTTAGGGTTTAGGGTTTCGCGCGCCTCACCCGACTTTTTGCGGTCTTTCAAAGATGCAGGTGGACGTCCGAATGTTCGCCACGTGATTGAGGCTGGAATGGTTCCAGGGTCTGTCACCTTGGGAGTCACTTGAGTTGAGTGACCCGGGTTTATGGGGTTTAGGGTTCAGGGTTTCGGTTTTAAGGTTTAGAGTTTAAAAGTTTAGGGTTTATAGGGTTTAGGTTTTAGGGTTTAGGTTTGAAGGTTGAGAGTTTGGAGTATTACACAGAATGGAACCTGTCATGGAATCCCGGTTACTCGGTTGTCTACTGGCACGCACGATGTCCTAAAGCCGACGTTGGGGTGTTGGGCTCTATGTTCTATCATGTTCCGAGTTCGGTTGGGGGTTGAAGATTTAGGGTTGAGGCTTTAGGGTTTAGGGCTGAGTCGAAGACACCAGAAACAAACAAAGACCTGCTGCTGCATTGCTTCCGAGCACCGCTGCCTTGTAGTAGGTCGTCAATACCATTGCCTGTCTTGCTTTGAAGACACCCTAAACCCTAAACCCCAAAACCCCAAACCCTGAACCCCGCAACCCTAAACCTAAACCCCAAAGTTCTAAACCCCTAAACCGTAACCCACCGCTAAACCCTAGATTGCCAGTTGTCATGTTCAGAGCAGGAATTCAGGAACAATTGTGTGGCAAGTGCTCGACCCTTCAGGCTTATAGCGAATCCCAGAAAGTCGGAAATGGACATGGGTAACGCTTTCCAAAATAGGGTCCCTTTCGGGGTCCTTTTTATAAGGGTGCCGTACTATGTTAGGGACGTAAAAAGGGACCCTAATTTGGGATCCCCTGTTCCTTACCTTAAGGGCATGAGGAGAGTGATGTGCCAACCTTTTTGGGGGCTCCACTTTAGGGTCAAGTTAAACTAAAGGAAACTACAGGTGGGGAGCTTCGGGTATATAGGGCTTCTATAAGGTATATAGACCTTCTATAAACTCCTATAAAGGTAACTACCCACCTGAGAATGGCTTAGATCAAGAGTTTAGGCCCAGTTTTTTTTCGATCCCAGTCTGGCCGATGAAGGTACCCCCTCGTGCTGGACTCGAGACCCTGAAACTCCCTAAACCCCAATTTAAACCCTAAACCCCGCTACCCCCTAAACCCAAACCCCTAAACCCTACTCCCTCAACCCCCGAGGCCTAAACCCAAACCCCTAAACTTAAACCCTAAACCCTACCCCCTAAACTCTAAAACCCGGGCTTGGTTAAGGACCCAGAGACTCCAATATCCCTTAACTAAGGAATATGCCTTAAATTGTAGTAGGAACATATGATTTAAGGTATATTCCTTAACTAAGGGGTATTGGAGTCTCTGGGACCATGGCCCTGAAATCCTAAACCCTAAACCCTAAACCCTTAACCCGATACCCTAAACCCTAAACCCTAAACCCTAAACCCCAAACCCTAAACCCTAAAAGCCCTAGAATGCGACTCCAGCGGCTATCATTGCATGGAACGCCAGGCTCACCGGGCTTACCAGCGACAAGCCCGCGCAAGGCAAGTAGACGAAAACGAACCTTAGGGTTTAGGGTTTCAGGAGTTTAGGATTTAGGGTTTAGGGCTTCAGGAGTTTAGGATTTAGGGTTTTGGGCTTCGCGTTATCAAAGTTTAGAGAGTCTGGTCTATTTAGGGTGTTGGGTTTCGTGTTTGGGGGGTTTAGTCTAGCTCTCTTCCGGCCTCTCCCGAAGCCGAACCTGTCAACGACAAAAAGCACCACGACCACTCGACGCTCAAAGCCGAAGCTCAACCAGGGAAGGACCAAGGGGGAAAACACATATCTTGGGGTTCCTTGCCATGAATCTAGGGTTTCGGGTTGAGGGTTTAGGCCATGAAGCTTTCAGGGCCCATCTTAGATACCGTCTGCTTGGGGATGCTGGGAGTAGGAAGCGGGAAAAAAGACAGTTCTGGAGACCCCTGCAACTATAGGCTACGGTCGGGCTTTATATCAAGAAAGCTTTTAAACAAGAAATGAGACTCTGGTTGCCGCAACAATAAATTATTTGAGACTCTGAGTGCCCCAAATTTTATTCCAGACCCTGAAAGCCACCAACCCGCTCAGAAACAAATTGGTCAGGGTTTTGGAGCTTAGGTTCAGGGTTGAGGGTCCAAGGTTGCTG